GTATCTAATAGAATAGACAATTAAAATCAAACGTAGGCCTATTTATTTATTTATTTCCAATTTGCAATGGTGTTTTGGAATACGAGCGAAAAGTCACTGTTCGGTTACCGCATCAATACTGAATGGGTCACTCGTATCTTTCCTTTGTTATAACGCACTACGGTGGTTGCTGTATTGTTTCTCCATCATGGGTCAACTATTTGCAAGTCGATTTCTCGAATGCAGAACTTATTGTTCAGAGGTACTTAACATTGTGGTGGTTGCAAATTTGAATTTAATATTCTTAAGACATAGTACCATCGACAAACGTTGACAACATAAACAACTATCGTACATCCGTTCTTTTAGAAGGTGTGTAACTTTCTTCTCTCTTTCCCTTTATCATGCAAAATTTTAATGGTTTATGTATGAAAATTAGACCAAAGGTAGATCTAGAATGGGGCTATAACATATACAATTTCCTCAAAAATCCGTAATTATGTGTATTATAAATCTGTAAAATGTTTAACGAGGTTTTTCCAATTTTAAGGATTAAAATGTATAACGCTAGCTACATATATAGGACAATAGATAAATGACATTATTTCATACATTTTTAATACAAATAATAGGAACCAAGAGACTCATAGTTTTAATATTTGATAGCATAGAACTTAATTAAATATACTTAACGGTGTTTCAATACACAATTTCTTATACTAATAAGTATAATAAATTATACTTATTTGTATACCTATATAACTTTATAATTTAATCCAACTATTAATAAAGAATAAAACAAATATTTTTATAGTAATTTATTTATCATATGGAAACCATCATTGAATATGTAATTTAATAAGATCGATTAATATGTTTATGACATTTTTTTAAATTACTTAAGCAAATTAAGAAGTCCAGTTGTTGAGCAACAGTCTTAAGAATTTTACTAGGAACATTTTTTAAAAATATTTTATAAAAACTTCTGCACACAGAACCCTTTCTCGTATCGATGATCGTATGCCAATCATATGCCAATCATATAGCCTATACGTTTTGCATTATCCAATAGTGCATACTTTTGATATTTAAGTATTGCATATTGTTGTGTATCTAATTTTTTCAGTTATCTCGTAATCGGTAATGTAGTGAAAGGATTTTTTTTTCATTAAGAAGGACCTGCTCTCTCAGTTTGACCGTTAGATGAAACGGCAAACATGCTCGATATGCGAACAGGACAAGATATAAATGTAAAAAACACTTGGTCTGTTTTGGAACCCAGCAGTCGATTAATTTTTTCTTTCAGATTCCTAAAGCCAACCAATCAGAAATGAAGACGTGTGTTTAAATTTTATATTTTCAATGACATACAATGTTCGACGCAGTGTAATCTGTGTTGGAATTTTGCTACCTATTTGTCGAAAAAGCACTAGTGTTGATATTTGGCACTACCTATAAAAAAAGTAGCAAAATCCTAGTTGTAAAAGTCAAATAATGTACAATTTGACGTGGAATATCTCATACATGATAAAATAATGAGACGTAATAAATAAAAAACAACATTAATTCGGTATATTGTATAGTTTATTGTGTCTAATAAATATTATAAATACAACCAAATGAAAAAAAAAAATATTATAATTTTTAAATCAACTCAACTTTCACGTGCTACACGTCATTTAAACACGTCTTCATATGTGACGACGTTTTCTATTTTGTCTAGAAATACCGAATCTGCATTGGTCAATGCTATCCTTCCACCGTGAAAAATATAAAATTACCAGCCGCTTGTTAGCCTTTTGTACTAAACTCCAAAATTTCTTTTATTGTATCCAACTGGTTCTCCCATAGTTCTTTACTAAATGCACACAACAGTATTATAACACTTTTTTTTATTGTTATAACGCGTTATAAAACTACTCTAATATACTATAAAACCCTTTTTGCTCACAAAAAAATTGAGATGGGGATAGGAATGTTATTTTTTAAAATCATGTGTTGTTTTCACAACGAACAAACTTGAATGAATGGTTAAATTGATTTAAAATAACCAAGTAAATGTTTTGCCAATAAATCGATTAAGGTTAGCAACGAAAAATATTTCAAACGGTATCAAGGTGTTCGCGGAACGAGACATAAAAAAGTATCCCATGATGTTAGCAAGCTGTTAAAATATAAAATGTTTTCCCAACCAACCCTTTTTGTAATTTTAAAAAAATACCTACCCAAAGTAAAAAATTCAAAGTATAACTAATAAAATATTGCTGTGGTTATTTTACCTATATTAGTAAATTCAACATTTTTAATACTCGTAGGAATGATGCCTTCATTTTTACAATCTCTTCTAAGTCGTCAAATAACTTAAGCAAATCAAAAATATACATAGATGTACAATACTATAATATTATACAATAACATGTTACATACAAACAAACAGCTGTGACGACGACCGCTATTTTATTGTCAATAACAACTGTTTATTTATTTTGCCTCATACTTTTTTTGTGTCTAAAAATATTTTCGTTTTGTGTATTTACAATTTAACTCGTATGTACATAATAATTGTTTTTGTGTTTAATTCACCTTGTTAATTAATATCGCCGAAAAACCACGTCACTGAAAGAAGTGTCCTTTGTGCACGAAGAACTCAAAGAACTTTCTACTGGAATATGCAAAGGTCTAACAAAACCCGCGGAGACGTTGCGGTCAACACGGCAATGCTGGATCGATGGTGCTGAGTTGGTTGTGTTTTGTATACCTTTTGTTTTTGCACCTTTTTTAATATTATTTTTTAATCACTTGTTATCACTTTAATCAAAAGAAATCATTAAGAAAAAAAAATAAGAAAAAAATCGTAGAGTTTCATTGAGAAGAAAATTGTTTGAGTTGACGTTAAAGTAAAAGACGTGATGATTATTGTTTATTTATCGACTTAGCGATTTTGCTGTTATCCGTTGCTAAGCACATCATCATGAGTATTAATATATTATTATTACGTTATAGTTGTTTTTAGTGCCAATACAAAAAATTAAACGCAAAAACTAATTTAAATAAAAATTTTAATTAAATTAAAAAAAAAAAATCCTAAAAACCCTATAAATACTAAAACTAAAAAAGTTGTTGAATACACTTAAATTTCTTTATAGATGATAAAATAATATCAAAATTGAATGTTGCAACCCTGCAACAGAGAAGGGAAGTGAATACTAAAAATTTGAGAACATTTTTATTAGGATTTAAACTCAATTGAAATATCAACTCAAGATAACTGAAATTGAGTCATCCTTAGTAGGGCTAATTTTGTCAGGCCTTCAGATCTAAAGCGTCTAAAACAACAAACCGCTTTTAATCCCCTTAAGAGGAATTTATATTTTAGCTCTGGCTAAACTTTTTACTTTTTTTAGTGCTTGTATTTAAGGTAAAATTTATGATTTCAAAAAAAACCTGCGATAGGCCTAGTTAAAGTTCTTCTCTTTTTAATAATACCAAAATTGTATTTCTATGACTATTTTGCATTGACTTACACAAAATAGTTAAGTAACAATAATTTTCAAAAAGAAAATTATGGTTAATGTGTAATGTATTGTTTTTGTATGATGACTTATACTTCTAAAACTGGTTCCAGGGCACTTACAAATACTTGTAACGCGACCATTAATTATTTTACCAACCAAAAATATCATAACTCCTCTAGATAGGGTGGGAATGATTCTGTAGAAAAACTATTTTTTTTTTTTAGGAAAAAACTCCACAAAAAAATAAGAGTAAATTATAACACTTTGCCTGTAATATCTCAGTTGTTGACTGTTGTGTGAACTAATACATAACATGTCGAAGCTAAAAATATATCCAAAAACAACATCTACTGATTAACTTATTGCTTTATTTTTCGATTTTTTGGGGGGTAGATTTGTTATCAAATGTGTATGATTCTTTAGACATAGATATTATTATCGATACACATTGAAAATCATATCCCCGCCGTTGGGGTGGTCTGAAAATTAGACCGAAAGTGTCTGCCTTTGGTCTGGTTAGGTTAGGCGTGGTTACATCTAGCGTGTGGCTATAAAGTATTATATGATTATCTCATACATCTGTAGTCAACCATTTTGCAAAAAAAAAGGAAACCCTATATCTCTAGTTAATTTTAGGTTGCTATAGTGAGTCCAACAGTCAACGGGTACTTGAAAATATTTTCCAAATTATATTGTTGACTAGATAAATGGCTATGGCAATAAATTATTAAAAATAGATGGTCAATCCGGCCTAATACCAAGTATACATTTTTAAGCAGATTCTTGACAATGATTATATATATTTACGGATACACATCCAGGCTTTTATTTAATAGCGATTTTATGACTTTCAGTTGTATCGAATTCTATGGACTTGTGACTTCTGCCGCCCCAATATGGTTCGTCTTATCTATGCCCCTACCCCACTGTACTGCCTTTAACTTTTCTGCTTTTTCTTTTTTTGTACCCTGGATGTTTTTTTAAACTGATGAATCGCAATTTCTTCGTGTTTCCCTATTGGTCAGAATTCATATCTGAAAGGTGGGTACTTAATTTTAATTGCACGCAATGATGTATGAATATTGTTTGAACTGTTTGAGCAAGTATACGAAAATATCACAAGAAAACAGGTTTTTTTTTATTTCAATAAACTATTGTAAAAACACAAGACAAATAAATAACACAGCTTATGTATTTTGAATACGTTTCCGTGTTAGAAAACAAACATCACATCAAACCTGTATTTTTCTTATTTCAACAAATAGTTTTGAAAACACAAGGCAAACAAATAACACAACTAGGATGTGTTTTTAGTACACGTTTCCGTGTTACAAAATAAATATAGAACTAAAATAAGGTTAGCTTTATCGATTGATTTCCGATAAGTTTCTATGCATCTGGAATAAAGTATGTTTATCCCATGTAAACACAATACGTCGGAAAAAGAGTATTACTCGGAATTTAGGAAAATGCGGCAAATGGAAGAGAGTCGCAAAACTTACTCATATAAATTCAACCCGAGCATAAACAGTATTATTGGTTTTTTGTGAGTTTCACACATACAACTTAACACATAACGTTTACCTAACAAGTACAAGGTAAGTAATACTTACAATAATTTTTTGTAGATGGTATGTTTTTGTATTTTCATTATAGAACCTTTACAACTGAAGTTATAATATGTATTATATAAGAATATACAGGGTGATTCAAAAAGAATAAACCGATTCTACGATCAAATATTTTGTAGGGAAATGAGGGAGTCGCTGTTTGAAAGATTAGGTTTCTACATGGGACCAAGCTAGTTGCATAACCTCACCACTGGAGCCTATCAATTAGAGCGTTTTTAAATGAAAAACTGCCTCAGCCCTGTACAGAGTTTCCCTCGCAGAAAAATTTTGTAGGATAAAATTGTTGCAGGATACAGCACAGAAAACGTTTATCTTAGGAGACCGATGCACCTGGCGCGGTCACGTGGCAACCATCTGAAACTTAGCAACCTAATCTTTCAAACAGCCACTGCCTCATTCTGATTCATACAACAATTTTAAACATAAATTTAAAAAAATAGAGCTTTCAATATAAAATTCACATTAACCAACTCTAGGAATAGGTTTAAATATCTAAAAAAAAAAATATTAAAATAATCCTTTTCATCCAAATAAGTTCTCGAGAGAAGAACAAAATATAATAAATAAGGGTTTTTTTAAACCACCATAATAAATATACTCTAAAAAATAAATTTTTGATGTCATTCGTTTTTTTTTGTTAAAAACTTGTATTTTTCTTTCAAATTTTTACCTTTTTTGGTATTTTTTTAGAGTGCATTCAACATTTGAAATTTAATTTTTAACGCATATAATTTCATTAGCGTTTTTAACTAAGTGTAATCTTATGAATTATTATTTTTCATTAGGCTACAATGCACCGTTTACTGTTTATGATATATAATTTCATACCAACCATAAATAGATATGTTTGTCGACGAAAAATAGAAAATATATCATTGGTTTGTTTTTGTTATAGGTATTTACGATGAAATCAAACATGAATGTTCGTTGTACCGTGTTAATTGCAGTTTGTTTCTTTAGCATCATCGTAAGTGACTCCTTCCATATAAAACTTAACAGAGATGAGCATTGTTCAAATGTATAAAACTATTATTGCTCGTTTAGTTTTTACAGAATCATACTTATTTTCACAATGATTTGATATTATTAAAAACTTCCTTTTTGTCTGTAATACAATGTAACTGAATCATTCAGATCTCCTAATACACTAGGCAGTCAGTAATTCCCAGAGTCTATAAAAGTTCACAACAAATTTTCTATTATCTATCTTCATTGAAGTTGCAAACTGGTTATATTTTAATACAGCTGGTATTTGAGGACAGTCGTCAAATACTACGAACATTACTTATACTTTTTTTTGTACGTCTTTCAGATTTCATTAGATGCTAAGGAACTTATGGAAAACTTTAAAAGAAAACTCATTGCAGCTGGTTTGAGCTGTTGTTTTTGTGAGTATCTTAAACATTATTTTTGGTTTAGTATTGTTTAGTAAACAAAAGCAAAAGAAGTTTAATAAAATCGACCCGATTTCCATTCTGTAGACACCACAAAACCTACACTACAGGGTGATCCAACTAACGTAAGACACTTTTACTAATTTTCTCGGAAAAGATTAATATTTTGAAAATTTTTTTCCCCTAAACTTTTTGGTACATATTTTACTACATTTTTCAATATTTGGAATATTTTTATCATCAATTCTCATACGTAAAACAAGTATCGCTTTTGTTTTTTTAAATGTGAACATATGTTTTTAATTTCATAAATCTGTAAACAAAATTTTTAAAAAATGTTTGCGTTTGAATTTCTAATTTTCAACTATCTGTTCGTTTGCTATGACTTTAAAAATATTTGAATTTAAAATCAGTATTTGATGAGTTACATTTAACAGTAGCGCTTTTATCAGCTATTAAACAATAATATTGATTTCTATCGGAAATATTGTCACCGATAATTAGACATAAATAACATTTGCTCCATTTTTTATTTATATTATGTGAACAGTCGTTTCTTTAACTACTTGCTCGGAAACAAAGGTCACCTAGTATAACCGTCATTCGTTTATATATTATCTTATCAGTAGACTGCACGTTAACTAAACCCTGTTAGGTCTATACCTAAACCCCTTTTTGCGGTATGAAGTATAATTATAGTATAACAATAATATTATCACATTATCATATTATAATTTTGTTGTATTTCGGCATCTGTATTCACAAAATTTCAAATCTTTACAACGTAATAAGTAGGGAACCGATTGATAAAAATTAGAAATTCAAACGCTAATTTTTTTTTTTTTTAATTTTGTCTACATATTTGTGAAATTAAAAACATACGTTCCCATTAAAAAAACCAAACGCGTTACTTGTTTTACACAATATAAGGGTTGAAGATAACATTATTTTAAATATTGAAAAATGTAGTAAAATATGTACCTAAAAGTTTAGGGGAAAAAAAATTCTCAAAATATTAATATTTTTCGAGAAAATGAGTGTCTTCACCCTGTTACCCGGAAACTTAATCGTTAAGAAATGTCCTTTTTGGAATTAGTTGTTGAAATTATGGTCTAAAAATATGACAGTAAGTAGATTTATAATATATCCACAGAAATTTAAAATTATTGTTAATATATAAATTCTAGCATCTACAGAATGGAATTAATTATATTTTTGGAAGTGATGTTAATATCTAACACCCATGACTTTATCTAAAAGTTATTAAGTATTACAACAGTCATTTATAATTTTGTAAAGCTTCCGTAAACACCCAAACCTTGCACCCAGACTATGAAAGGGCGGTTATCTGTGCAATGTCAGAATTTGAATGTCATAATGAATTCGAAGGAGCCAAAGAATTAACTAATGCAACAAGAGCTATGGTTATCGGCAGACCAGACCTGATGCTAGACGAAAGAGAACTGCTGAGTGCTCATATAGATCCAGGAGTTCAAGAAGAAATATACGAGGTCGTCCAATGGTTTGGAAATAACGTAGTACGTGATAATTAAGTTGATTTGAATATACTATTTTATTTTCATTTGTTTGCACTTTATTTGAACTAATATTTATTTAACACATTAAACTATAGAATATACCGAATTGTTGTTGTTTTTAATTTATTACGTTTTATTATTTTGTCATTGCTTATAAAAATATACATATATGAGATATTCAAAGTCAAAAAATGTCAGTGTTTTCAAGTCAAAAAACAAGGTCAGTGACGTAAAAGAAAACAATGGTACCTAGAAAAAGTAAAAAGGTAAATTTTAATGGTAAATAACACCATTAAAAGTGTTTTTCTACAAGTAGGTTGCAAAATTCATACACAGATTTTATGCGTCGCAAATTGCATGGCATTGAAAATGTAAAATTGATAATTTATTTTCCACTGTAATACATTTCATTAGAATTGTCTTCTTTTGGGCTTTATTTAAAAATATAAACTATATTACGGAAGGTTTAATTGGCCTATATAGTACTATAATATAATGTATCGCATTATGAAAATGGAAGTCAAGAAAAATGGCGCAGTAAGATTAATTTTCATACTTCACTTTAAGTCAAATGTTCAGTAAATTATTCTTAATAATAAACTATAATGTTTATTATAAATACTAAAATATTATACATACATAAATATCTCCCCAATTGTAGTCCTTAAAGGGATTTGTAAAGAGACCCTGTTTCAACTAGTTGCTTAAGGATGCATTGAAACGCTAAATGATGCACAAAATGATAAAGACAATAAACCACGATAATATTGGTATTCTATACAAATCTAAATATTTTGATGGGTAGATGAGAAAGTATTATTTTTATAAATATGTATATTCATTATAATTGTTGTATCTATAAAGCAAGTCTATAAATTATAAGTCGTACCTGTAAGGTAGTTTATAGAACCGACAATTTAAAAGTCACCCTTTTTTCTTCGAAACTGAGGAAACCCATCTACTAATTCACACACATTTTTCATCACATCGAACCAGATATTTGTTTTATTTCAATTAACTATTGTAAAAGTGCAAGACATATAAATAACCCAGCTTAATATGTGATTTGAACGTGTTTCCGTGGTCAAAAACAAACATAGCAAAAAACAGATTTTTTTTTCTCATTTCAGTAAATTGCTTTAAAGACACAAGACAAATAAATAACACAGCTCTTATGTGTTTTATATACGTTTCCGTGTTAGAAAACAAACATCTTATCAATCCATATTTTTTTTTTTATTTCAATAAAATATTGTGAAAGAGTAAGACAAATAAATACTACAGCTTGTGTGTTTTGAATACGTTTCCGTATTAAAAATCAAACATCACATCGAACCGGATTTTTTTTATATCAACAAATAATTTAAAAAGTGCAAGACAAATAAATACCTATCACAGCTTATGTGTTTTGAATACGTTTCCGTATAAAAATCAAACATCACCTTGTACCAGATTTTTTTCGTATTTTGATAAATCGCGTTAAATGTCCATTTAATGTAAATATTTGATAGCCAACAAATTTTTGACCCAGAAAAACATGTTTGTTGTCGGCTATAGTAAATATATAAATTACACAGAATATGATATTTCTTATTCATTCTTCGAGTCGTTCAATTTTCAGTTAGCAATAATTGTTTTTTATAAAGATGGATTCTAAAAAAATCATTACACTGACCATCGTGTCATTTTTTATCTTAATAACAATTACAGGTAACGTATATTTTAGTTTTCTGCCAACTTATTGTGTTATAGTACATATTATTATGTTACAAAATAATGATATACTTATTGTTTAATAATTAATTACTGTAATATGCTATGTAATAAGAGACTTGGTTTAAACTTGGATTTTAACAATTTATATAATTAAATTGCGTTAATGTATTTAATGTATTACAGTCGTTTATGGAAGACCCAGCGGTGAAGGTAATTCATACATTTAGTTTTAATCTACTCAACGTAGCAATGAAGTTTGCTGTATTCTTATAAAGCCTGTGTACTTTATTTTCTACAAATTTACTCTTATGAGGCGTTAACCTATTTTTATTTTAACTTTTAATTCATAATTATAAAAATAATATTGGTAAACTTTTAAACGATTTTTGGGCAAATCAAAAAACTGTCGAGAAAAATTTTTTGTACTCCAAATATATTGTAAACATGTCGTATACAACGTTAATTTAATTATGGAGAATTCTAGTCTAGTCGAGATTTAAAAAAAAAAACAAAACTAATAAATTTAGGCTACTACCAGTAGGTGTAAAATTAGGTATATTTTTTCTTGTTGTAGTCGACTAGACTAGTTATTTATTGTTAGTTAAATACATTATTAACTATATTAATATTGGTCTCTGATGTGTGGCGTGTAAGATGAGATGAGCGTATTCATCCGCCGATTAATTAGTATCAATTCATTATGTTAAAACCAACAATATGTTCATTTTGATATTTGCTTTAAATTTTATGAGACACCGCATTTATTTTTTTTGCTTTATTATGTATATATAAATAACAATTTTTGTACGCAGGAAGAAATGGTAATAATAATAATTACAATAGAGGCAAAGGTAAAAATATTTTTTTTTTAATTTATAAAAACAAATGTGTAAATAAGATACTATTAATTAACTGTTCAAAGTTAAACGAGGTTTTCCATTCTGATTGATTAAATAAAATCAAAAAATTGTTTGTACACAGGAGTTGCGAGCGGATCGTCAGAATATGTTCGCTATTTCGGTAGGTATACTGTAACTTAATTAGGTTAACTATTGAAAATCCTTGTTGTTTGTTTTTGAACGTAATACAAATATTGTAATCTACTTATTTTGTATATATACAATTTTTTTTATGTAGGATTACCGGATAAATATGCTGAAGAAAGGAAACATATAAGTGCAGCTATCGGTATGTATACTGTAACTGTTTTAGCTTACTAAATAATTATAGAAAACTCTTGTCTCGTCGAAATTTTCAAAAAAAAAAATCTTTTATTTTTTATAAAAGCCATTTGTTTTATGAAGCTGATAAAACAAGGGCAAATCATTTGTTCAGTGCATTATGTCGTTTAGGAACTGATTGTTCAAACGTCTATTATTTTGTATTAATTTCACTTACTGTATGCAGCAAATAGTGAAGGTTACAATTTCGACAACCTAATGTCTAAAGTATGGAATAAATCAGGTGAAAATTCCGGTATGTATGCTTTCGTATTTATTTTGTATGAATATCTATTTTTTTGAAAAAAAATCTAATTTTATTATTAAAATTTTTGGAGTTTTTAAAACTCTGCAATATAAATATCCAGAATTCATACAATCCGTTCGTTATCCCATGAGCCGATGATTTGTTTCAAAAGTTCTTTTCTTTATAAATAAATAAAATAAGATACATAATAATAAAAAAAATAATAGAATATTTGAAAAAAGTGTATATTTAATACGGTAGTTTTTTCTAAACTCTATTACTGTTAGGTAAAAAGTTATGGAATATTATGTTTTAGCAGTTAGTACAATACTTGATTGCAAGCCGACATAAGAGAAGGAGAAACTTTACTTTTCTCAGTCCGTTGCACAACAGTTATTGTCAAAAAATTCAATGAATAAAATAATCTTAAAACAAAAAACTTACAATACATTTTTAATTATATCTTCTTGGAATATTCGTATAAAACCCCTATCAAGTTTGCATAGTAATTTATTTAACAACAAAAAGTTAGATCATATTAACGCAATTATAAAATATTAAAAAACAAATATCATTTGTGTGTTTTTTTTAATTTATCAATTTTACTTCTTTATATTATAGGTACTTCAACAGACAAAAGAAGTATGTACATATGTAAATTTATTTTTATGTTACTGACTATTTATTATAACTATTAGTTGTTATCTAAAATTTAATAAAGAAAGATTTGCTGTTAGGCTTACAACTATGTCTAAGCACAGGCAAAATCGCCTAATAAAATATAGAACTTTTTATAAAATAATATGGTTGTAAGATTATACCATTATCCAAGCCACACTGTATAATTGTTCAATTAAATTGTGACCAAACGTTCGTTATTTTAATTGATAGATAGAATAGAAAAAAATCTGCTATTTTACCTTTCAAATGTAACCACGTAAAATATTTAATTCCTATAATTTTTGTTTTTAGCTAGTGAGTACCCATATATATGTACATCAATGATTATAAGTTAAAAAGTGTATAAATTATTAATTAACTTTTTACAAAATCTATGCATTAAAGAAACCCACTTCGTAATTAGTTTGACAACCAACTCCTAGTGCCGAAGAATATAATGTTTATACTCGATGAAGTATACACTTTATTTTAGATGAAAACAATTTGTTTATAAGCTACGATTTTTTTTTTATGTTGGTTTTTGTAAAGTAAACATAAAACTTAATTTTTAAAATAAACACATTTTTTCAGAATGTCCGTTTTGTTCAGGTAATACTTATATTTTTAATTGAAATGTTACTTGTTTAAATGTTTATATTTGTGATGAACTTACTGAATTGGCTTAAGATTTAGTTTTTTATTGTAAATATTATTTTAAAATTATAATTCTACTATAATATTTGCCTAATATTTATATTTTTTCATATTTTAGTTCAAAACAATCGAAGCGTAGATAGTAAGAGCTAATATATTTTATTTATAAACTTTACATTAATTTACTATGTCTTACTTAATTATTTTACTAAAAAAAAAGACAACTTATATAAATCCAAAAAATATATTTTTGTTTCAGGATGCGGTAAATGTAGTAAGTTAAAAGCTTTTTTAATATTTTTTACTACGCCTTTAATAAATAAAAATTATACAAAGTCATATTATAGTTAAATATTTTGGTTATCTAGTGAGAATTGTTGAATACGGTTGATAGTTCTTGTAACGACAGATGTATATTAAATTTCCTAAATATTGTCTGATCTTTGTCATTTAAGTTGTTTCGAGACATATACATTATAATTCAAAATATTTTTGGGTGTACGTTAGTAAATAAAATGGTAAATAAAATAGCTAAAACCATTGTTAGTATGATAACGTGATATTTTTATTTTCAGAGAAACCGCTTAAATGACATAATGTGTAAGTACTAAGTATAGTTTTATTAATATTTTTTGTGGTTTGAATAAACGACTATTTATTATACATTTTGTTTTTTTGTGTTAAAATGTTATATTTTTCAAATACAGACTGCTGAATCGTCATCTGCCCCCACGCAGATTTAAAAATAATATTTTTATTCTAAAGAAATATATGTTGTAGTAATTTTAACTATTGTATTCATATCTAACGCATTGATTTGTTGTAAAAACTTTTAATTGTTATTCAGTTTTCAAACATAAATAAAAATATAAACGATTAAATTTGAATCAATTTGTTGTTTCGTTCAAAGTATTACAGAATATACACATTTAATGTTTGAACTTAAAAGTAAATTAACTATTTACAAACTTTCTTCGTAAAAAAAATAAAATACATTTATGTTAAAACCCGACCTCTACGAGGTACCATCTTTATTCCCGTAACTTGTTGTACACATTTTGATGAAATTATCATATTGGCACAGACAATCTTGGAGGGCTTAAAATCACTTGTATTTTAAAATCAGTGTTTATTATATTGATGCATTTGGCTCTCAAGGTAAAAATATAAAGCCAAAAAGCAAATAATTTCAACCTTCTCCTCAAAATCGTCAAAACCACCCTAAAATTTAACACATTTTTCGTCTTAAAATTGTACCGTAGCATATGACGGTCAATAAAGTACAAAAACAGGTAGAATCAATTTCTTATTTGTTTATTTCTTATTTTAATAAATAGTTTTGAAAACACAAGGCAAATAAATAACGCAACTAGGATGTGTTTTTAATACACTTTCCGCGCTACAAAATAAATATAGAATCAGAATATGGTTAGGTTTATCAATTGGTTTCCGATAAAATCCTATGTAGTATGGATCTGTATGCAACTGAAGTATGTTTATCCCATGTAAACACAATATGTCGCAAAAAAGTGTATTATTTGGAATATATATATAAAAATTACCGTTTTATTCATAAAATATTTTTTCAAGAGTAGGATAAAAAATAATTAATTAAGGTATTTTGAACCATTCCTATAAATATACTAAAAAAGAAAGTTTAATTTTTAAAAATGTATTATTTCTTACAATTTCATACCTTTTTCGGTATTTTTTAAAGCGCATTCATGTTAAATTTAATTTTTAACGCATATAATTTTTTTAGAGTTTAAGCTAGGTGAAATTCTATGAAATATTTAACTGGTCGATTGATTTTGAGTAAATACTATTAGAACTACTAAAGTTGATTATTTCATACCACTATGGGATAAGTACATTTTTAGTAAAAAAAAATACATATTGTTATAGGTATTTAAGATGAAATCAAACATGAATGTTCGTTGTGCCATGTTAATTGCAGTTTGTTACTTTAGCCTCATCGTAAGTGACTCCTTCCATATAAAACTTAACAAAGATGAACATTGTTCAAGTGCAAAAAACTTACTATACTACCTAGTTTTGTGTTTATAGAAACCAACATATTTTCACAATGTTTAAGTAATATTAATAACTTGCTTTTTGTCTGTAATACAATTTAACTGAATAATTTTGATATTTTAATACACTATGCAGCCTCTAAAAGTTCATCACAATTTTTTTATGACTTATCTTTACTGAAGCGGCAAAACTTTTATACTTTAATACAACTGCTATTTGAGACCGGTCATCAAAAACTCTATGATACTACGAATAGTACTAATACTGTGTGTGTATGTCTTTCTGATTTAATTAGATGCTAAGGAAGTTCATGAACAACTTAAACAACAAATTATTAAAAATGGATTGAACTGTTGTTTTTGTGAGCATCTTAAAAATAATTTTGGTTGTTTTGACCCCATTTCCATCCTGTAGTAACAGTATGTACGTACATAGATTTTGAGTGTATGGATATTTAAGATAATACATGTTGTAAAATAGCGGATAAATTCAGTCATGGTTTCACATCTGCCCAATTCTCTTTCATTATCTATTACCCTATAATTTAGTTGCAATGCGAAAATTGAATTGACTTGAAGACCCAAATTTGCTAACTTCTTCTGTAAATATTTACATTGTACTTGGTTTGAACTAAACAGCGTTAAATAAATAAAGTAATACTCATAAAATTATAGTAAAATAAGTGCAACAGAAAGAACATTTTTTTTTATTAATATTTCGTAGTTATCTATAAGCAAGTATAATAATAAAAACCAAAATTAAATTAAAACGATTAACGGATATGTTAGGTTAGGTAAGAGAAAATTAAACATTTACACATTTGATAATTTAATTTTAAAATGTACCATAAATAATTAAACCATTCGAATAAGGATATATTGAGACACGAGCATGGCTAATGTGTGTATTTGTGTGGAAGTTTTAATGATAGATATTAAAGATTTAAAAAGGTAAGCTACACTCGAAATATTAAATTTAGGTTCCTGGTAACATAAAATGTTTTTAGATACAAAATAAAGATTTATTTCTGGCATTAAACCATACTCTTCACCCAACAGTTATTTGGTTAACAAAAATCGGGTATGCAACTTGAATTCGTCTCTGCCTAGCCAATTATCGTAGCTCAATTGATTGGCTCTGACTTCAAAAGTATACACTTTGTACATTTCTAAAACTACTTCGACGAATTCCTTGAACTTGGTTTTGTTGGTACTTTCGTCGTTGTTTAAATTAGCTTCGATATTTGGGAGAATGCTGGTACCCGTTAACTGTTTAAGTTAACCTAACCTAATTCAATTATACATAGATATAAAAATGTATATTTTATCCCCCCCTCCCTTGTATATCTATTAACCGTGGTGAGCGTACGACATTTAATAAATGAACAGTAAGAAACAAGGAAATATCCTATTCTGGCATCACTGGATAAAACTCAATATGTCTGTCCGTTTTTTGATAACCTCTAAGATTCCCTTATTTTTGTTCTGTGGCCCGCTTATGATTAAATTCACACCAAGATTATAGATAAATAGTTGCCCGACTATAGCAACTACGGACAGTCAATTATACCATACAAAAATATATAAATATAATATTATACATTTTTTATTAATTTCAACGCAGAACACAATGGAATAAAAAATACATGCTTACAAACTTTTTTTTTTATAAATTTAACGAATTAATTATTTTTTTACTATCAGAAATAGTAATACATATTTGAATGAAAGTTGCTATTATGATTTAATTAATCCTAATGTGTCACGACACGTTTCATAAACCAAATAACTTATACTAACGGCCGGAACTACTTTTAAAAAGTTTGGTACTACACCGCGGTACAGCCCTGGCACGCCATCTTTATTCAAAATGTGTTTTACCACCGAAATCATAGTGCGTTTGTCCGGGACTCTTTCTAACTCTAAAAAAAAACAAAAAAACATGGAAAACCATATCGTTGATGCATCGTTGAAAATGGCAAACTTACGCCCCGGCACGTCCTCTTTTTTCAAACTGTGTTTTACCACCGAAACCATAGTGCGTTTGTCCGGCACTTGTTCCGACTCTAAAGGAGACACGGAAAACCATATTATCGATGCATCGTTGAAAATGAAATCTGTGACAAACTTACGCGGTGCTTGAATGCAAGTTCTCACCAACATCAACGGATAGGCGCAGAGTTGCGCACACGAACTGGATAACGCGCCGCTTGCCAAAGTCAACAGGGTGTTCGGCTTACTGCCGTTTGAATATTTATTTTTGATTGTCTGTTGGAAATGTAAAACAAAAATTACTACTCCGATTGAAATTGCATTTACTCGACGGAAACGGCCGTTACTTCATACACGGCCAGGTCTATGCCGGCATACAGTAAGACGCCCATCAGGCTCGGCACGAAGCCTCGGTAAAAACTGCGCACACCTTCGCGGTGATACATTTTCTTAGCGCAGTCCACAAATCCTTTGTGCTCGTTGCTCTTGCTGATGGCCAATCTCGTCTTGAGCACATCCAACGGGTAAATACCGGACTGGCTCACACCGCCGGCAATGGAACCGGCCACGAACCGGTCGCCTATGGACAGGTCCGTCTGTCTTGATCCCCGCATTGATTTTTTCACTTTGTCGAACACCAAAAACTTAAACGCCGTCTCGGGCACTACCTTCATCACGTTGATCCCGTTACCTCTCCACAGCCCGTAGGTACCGCCCTCTTTGAGCATGCTGCGGAAACACGTTACCATGTCCGGATATTGGTTGCCGTAGACCTTAAACAATGCCGTTGCGCAGCACACTTAGTTTCGGTGCTCGTACGCCGGTCAATAATCCAAAAAAATATATATATTATTAGTAAATCTAACCTGCTGAATGGTTTTAAGACGATCCAACGGCGCAGTGCATGTCCTGGACACAGCTCCGGCTGTACCACCCGCCACAAGGTGTGTCCACCACGAGTTACTTGGCATTTCAGTGAGCTGTGCTTGTGTGGTGCCGTTGTATGCGTTCTCTTTATTGCCACCGTTCGAATCATTCTTAAAAAACATTTGCGTGTTACGAGTACGCGCGGATGGATTGAAACTTCTTTCAGTCATTTAACCGATAGAATATTAGGTTTGTGTTGGAATAAAATTAAAAAAAATACACTGTTCATTGGGTTCGTTTCATGAGGTTCACATACGAATAATCCATTCCGGCCATTACCTTGTCGGGACCCCGAAGTGATGATTCCATCGGTAGTTTTTCGAACGCTAAGGTTTATTTCAATTGTGATGTTGTTACTACAAACATAAACAAATGAATGGTGGAATATTAGCAAACAATAACCGAAGTTAACTATTGATGAATGTTGACAGTAAATCTAAGTAAGGCCAGATATTATAAAACTACTAAAACATGAAACATAAAACTGTTCTTCATGATAAAAGTCATGGTATTGCTATAACATATCCATTCTTCAACGTTTTTCCGGGGAGTGGAGAAAAAATCGATCACAAAAAAAATAATCTCAGATATACACAAATAATAATTTTTAATTGTCAGTCAGTCAGTAAACAACGAAAAACCAAGGCCAACACGAGTAAAAACCAATAAATAAATAAATACAGTATGTATACATGAAAAAAATAAAACCTATTTAACACAATAACGCGAAAATTATAAGTAACATTACGCTTTTTATTTTTTATCTGAGTAGCAAAATTTAACTCGTTCCTAAATTTATATTATACTAGCTGTGTTATCCAGCTTCGTTCGGTTTTATGCAATATGCCTATTCTTTTTTTTTAATTTGATCCTAACTAACGGAGAGTTTGTGTCGTTTCGAATTCGTGTTTTCCATTTTTACTCCCATAGGTGTTGAATTTTGGAAAATTCTTTCATATTGGGTTTCTACATCATAAAACAAAACTACTGACCAAATTTTATACTCATAGCTTTAGTGGTGCTGACTACACAACCAAATTGTATTTGTTTTTTTTTTTAATTTTATCATTGCGTTAATTAAAATTGTATACTCGATAAATATTGCGTACTTTCTATAATATTCAGTTTTTCCTTAAAATCATTAAAATCCTTAAAATAATATTTTTTGACGGGTTATTATCAAATTTTAAATAGGCCATTTGACCGATTTTGTTTAAATAAAAACTACAATGGTCTGAATATGTTTGACATTACATTGTCGAAGTTCGGATTTATTGAGAACTGCGGAAAAAACTCATAATTAAACTGGAGTTAAAACTATATAAGATTGCATTTTTTACGTTGTTTTTTAAAAAATTGTAAAGTAATAATTTTAATTAAATTCAAATTAACTCCAAAAATTGTAAAAAAAAAACTCCATAAATACTTATCTTGGTAAACACACTATAAATACTTAGAATAACGACTGTTGAATGTTGCATTTGTCGGCTGCTCTAATTTGTAACTTCTGTTAAAATTGTTTTAATTAAACAAGAAAAATTAAAAAAAAAAAGCAATAACGAAAACCTTGTAGGGTTTACGCTTAGATACCTTAATGGTCAGTTGCATTAGCGACCAATCACGCTATTGCCGGTTCGAGTCCGGAAGGGAAATTCGATTTTATGAATTTTTTTTTTCCGTTTTTGTGTCTTTACAGACAACCGCGATAATCTTTTTATTGCTGAAAATATTAATTATTATAATTAGATCCATGCGTACTCGGCACGCACTTATATTTTTTTCAATACTGATAATCTAAAATGATTTTAAGGAAAAATTACTAAACTACTAAACTAAATTATTATAGAAAGTACGCAATATTTATCGAGTATACAATTTTAATTAACGCAAAGATAAAATTAAAAAAAAAAACAAATAAAATTAAATTTATTGCATATAAAAAAAAAGAATTTCCTCTTGGCGGGTTTTTTGGTAAAATTGGTCTTGGAACAACAAATAATTTGAGGTTATGTACCAATTGGATTTTATCACGATTTATTAGTTGCCAGAAAAACTGATTTCGTCAGATCTTTTACGAAGGGTTTTTTTCCCATCATAATTCTTAAGATATTTTACCTACAATTTAATATTTTAATTTATATAACGTTTTCATATGTATTGTTACTCGAATTACCTAAGATTGAATACTGAATGTTGTATCATCGAATAAGCTACAAAACGTAAGTTATTTATACTGTTTTATTATTGATTATAAATTCTGCGTAGACTTCATAAAATTAAACGGCTGTTCTATTTCTAATGCTATAATATTATTAATGATTTAAGCTCATTAAACTTCTCCAATTATAATTAACTGTTTAAATTGTTACTTTAGTTATAAACTGGAAATCATATTATATAATATACTTGAATGAAACAATTTTTATCCGACTGCAGGGAAAGTGTGTTATCACAGGTAGCTGTTCTGATCTAGGTTTAATTATCGTTGGATTAAATATAGCTACTTAATTTCGCTACCTTATTTTGTTTATTTATTCCAAACTTTCAAGTAGATTTATTGGTTTTTTTTTAATTTATATGTCACCAATAAAAACAAATGCATGCATAAAGGTTATGACATTGCTAAAAACACTATACTTAATTCATTTATGTTTTTTTAATATAACATTTATGAAAACGATTCTGTTCTCCAAACTTAGCGAAAAGATTTTTTATAAAGAAAATGTTAAATGTACGAACTTTTTCTGCATGTACACCTATTTGAAAATAGTCTAATAAAAAAAATCGGTCCTTTCGATGAATATTTCTCAAATTAAGAATTTAAATGTTAATAACCAAATTTACCAACAATTTTTATAAAATAAAACATTAAAATAATATATTCAATACTAATTAGCAAGCAGAGCAGTGCATTATTTGAATTAAAACTTGGTCTCAAGTAATCATCTAGATAATAAATTATTAAATTGTAAATTATTAGAATAACTTTTGAAAACAAATTTTAATACATTTAAAGTATAGTTTAAACGATCAAACTATAACTGAAAAATAAATTCATTAATTTAACAATTCATATTTCCCTATGAATTGTTTTAGTTATTTCTTAGTTATTACATATAAATATAAATAATAAAGTAGATTAATATTAATTCATGCTAGAATATTATGATTATTATATTGTAAATATTGTGAATATTATGTAAATTATAATACTATTATTAATAAACTTATGTGAATAAATTATAAAAAAGTTATTCGGATATAACAGTTTTTAATATAACTCTTAAAGTATAGTAAGTTTTTTTTATTTTATAAGCTAACGTTGTACACAACTTTAATTTTAAAATCAATATAAAATTATAAATATATATATATATATATATACAATATGTAAATAATTTAATATCATTTGGTTCAATGACTAAAATAAGGTGCAGTAGGACACTAATAAAATATAAACAGTTATCTTTCCGACCACGTCGACTTGAGAAATAACTAAGTATGTACATTCATGTCAGATGTTATAACAGCATATCATAAAGGCATAATTTAAATTTTTATCTTGAGTAATCTGGAATGAGTTTTTTTGTGAAAATTGTTAGGTTAATAAAGTTATTTGGTATCAAACGTTTAAAACCGAGAACTCTTTTAATCCGCATAATATTGTAATATCAATTACAAATGTATGCAAAACTTTAAATTGTGAAATAGTTTTTGAAATTAATGAAAACAATTATTTTTAGTAGCAAATCATAATATTCCTTTTTATTTAATTGGACGGTAAAAATTAAAAAATACATAAAAAAGAAACAATCGTCTGCTCTTTATTTTTATTTTTGAACATTTTAATCACTCTTTCTCAAAATGTTTATATGATAATTGCTCAATTTGTTTTTATTTAAAGTATCAAGTATATCAGTAGTTTCCTAAGTTATTTTTTTTTACAAGTTTTAAAACAATTTTTTACGATTTTAACTTTTACTTCAAATAAATAAATAAAAGAGCGTTTAAACTGCGTTTACTTGTATTTAAATGACAAGACATTGTTACATATTTTTTCTAATGAAATACAGGGTGATCCACTTATCGTGAACCACTCAATATCTCATAGGGTTAAATAAGAAATACAATTTTTTTTTTTCATATTGTTTTATATAATGTGATCTCAATTTTTTTTGTTTTTACTCCCCTTCCAACTTAGTTTTTTTGATAGCATCTTTTGAAACTTAAATGGTATATATTTTATTAACTTTTTAATTGAGAATAATGTACTAAACATTTTGACTGGTCAATAACCAGTTTCGGGTAACTATTTTTGAAGTTATTGAAGTTTTAAGTTTAGGGTAGGAGGAGAGGTGAAGTGTAGTATTATTTTTATCTGGTTATCGACCAGTCAAAATGTTTTGTACATTATTATTATTTTAAAAAGTATGTGAATGAAATTATGAAAGTATGAAATGTATGCGTTACCATTTAAGTTTCAAAAGTTACTATCAAAAAAACTAAGTCGAGGGGGGGTCAAAACAGAAAAAATTGTGAAAAATTAAGATCACATTGTATAAAAAAAAAATTCAACTACACATATAATCCACGATCAACGTCATTACGGCTTTTGTAAAATTAACTTAACTAAATTGTGTAACAAAAGTGTAGCTAAATAATTTATTTTCAGAACCGGTATTAGTTATGAGCTAAGGCAGAAATTCGAGGGAGACCAAATTATACCATCCGGTTATGTAGGCGAAACCACTTTCATAAAATATAACTAACGGTATAGATGACACTATACTAAATAACACTTAAACGATTGTGACCGATAGTGACCAGACGAATAAAAGTTTTTCAGCCGAGTCTGCAACCACAAAAGAGCATTTTCATGTCTCGTTGAAGTACTGAAGCTTAGAGTAGTGGTGGAATTATAGATAATAATATAGTATATTAACAAGCGGTAACAAGCTAGTATATTAAAACGTCAAGTTTCTGGCTAAAATTGTAGTGTTTATTATCTGGCCAAAAGTAACTTAACATAGAGAATTAAACTATTTTGAATTTATTATTTAGTTCTAATTTGAACGTTGAACGTACAACATATCTCTTATCTTATATCAGATAACAGCGTAAC